TCAAGAGTTCAAGACCAGCCTGGCCAACATGGTGAAATCCCATCTCTACTAAAAATACAAAAATTAGCCAGGCATGGTGCACGCCTGTAATCCCAGTTATTTGGGAGGCTGAGGCTGGAGAATCTCTTGAACGTTGCAGGCAGAGGTTTCAGTGAGTTGAGACAGCACCACCATACTCCAGCCTAGGCAACAGAGCAAGACTCCCACTCAAAAAAAAAAAAAAAAAACAGGGAGAAAGAATGGATAAATAAACTATATACATTTCTTAAGTATTTAAATTAGGATGTTTCATTCATAAGCCTTCAGAAGTCAGTTTTGTGATCTCCAAATGTACTTTTGGATTAGATTTAGTAGTGATTTAGAAAATAGTGACTTCTTAGCAAGCCTAGGTTCCAACTGCTGAACATAAAGCAGATGACACACACACAAAAAAAGAAAATTTCTTAAAGTGTATATTATGTAACAAAGTAAGACAAAAACTAACATTTGGTAATAATTTATCCTTTAGGTCACAAACGCTTAACTGAGCTCCTTATTTATTTGTAACATTTGCTGTGTGTTCAAGTTTTAGATTAGCATTAACTATTTCAAGCACTCAAAAAATGTAAATAAATTCAGTTGGCCCTCCAGGTTTCACATCTGGGTATTCAACTAAGGACAGAAATGTTCAGAAAAATAAATAAAAAATAACAATATAACAATAAAAATAATACAAATTTAAAAAACAATATAATCACTATACAGCATTTACACTGTAATAGGTATGGTTAAGTGTGACTTAAAGTATACTACATGCAAAAAGTACACCATTTTATACAAGGGACCTGAGCATCTATGGATTTGGGTATTCGAGTGTGTCCTGAATTAATATCCCTCGATACCAAGGGACAACTGTAAAAAGCATAGTAATCTTTAAAAAATTTGGTATATCACTCTTTACAAGAAGAGTAAAAACAAGTGTTATTTAAAAGCTGGAAAAACTTTAAAAATGAAAACTTCAATGAAATAGAATTACTAGTGTGTAATACTAACAAAGATAAAAAATAATTCACATTGCATGAGTGGAGGTGTGAGTGTATTTGTAATCTCATAGTTCAAGGGGGTGCAAGCCAGCACAGTCTTCTGGAAGGCAATTTCATAGTACCCATCAGGGCTAAACACAGTGGCTCATAGCCATTATCTCAACACCTTTGGGAGGCAAAGATGGGTGGCTCATTTGAAGCCAGAAGTTTGAGACCAGCCTGGACAACATAGTGAGACCCCGTCTCTACAAAAAAATCTAGAAAATTAGCCAGGTGAGGCAGTGTACCGCTGTAATCTTGGCCACTGGGGAGACTGAGGTGTGAGCCCAAGAGTTTGAGGCTGCAGTGAGCTAGCTATGAATATGCCACTACATGCCAGGCTAGGTGACAGAGCGAGACTCCATCTCTAAAAACAGTTTTTTAATAACATAAAATAAAAATAAAGAGAGTACCCATCAAGATAAAAATAGAATTTCTTGGTCAATTTCTTGGTCAACTTTGACCAAGAAATTCTATTTCTATTAATTTATTCTATTAATTTATTCTATAGACATACTTACACATGTACCAAAGGGAGGACAAATAATCAATGCAGCAGTACTGCAATGTCTGTGGCAGCAAAATAGCATACACAATTTAAAGGTCCATCACAGATCGGGTTAAATAAGTTACAGAAGCAAACAATGGAATGTTCACTATTTAAAAAGCAAGAAGTAGATCTATATGTACTTACATAGATCTGTAAGATCAGGTAAGACAAAAAAGCAAGGGACTAAGGTGTCTAGTATACCATTTATGTAAAAAGAGAGGTTAGGGAACATACATATATGCTGGTACATACATATAAAATATCTGAATCAATAGCTAAGAAACTGTTAATAGTGGCTGTTTCTCAACAGAACCAGGGCATTAGGCAAGAGAGCTGGAGAAAGCCTTTTTGTGGCAGATGAAATAATGCTCTGCCCTCCCCCAACCAAAAGATATCCATGCCCTGATTTCCCCAGAACCTGGGAATATATTACCGTATATGACAAAAAAGACTTGCAGATCTGATTAAGATCTTGAGATGGGGAAAATTATCCAGGTGGGCCCAATATAATCCTAAAGGTCCATGTAAGAGGAAGGCAGGAGTATCACTGTCAGAGAAAATGTAACCTCCTCTAGAGGAAAATTTAAAGATGCTATGCTGCTGGATTTGAGGAGGGAAGGAGCCAAAGAATGTAGATGACCTCAAGAAATGGAAAAAATTCATTAGAGCCCCTTAAAGAAAGACAGCCCTGAAAAACACCTTAATTTCATCTCAGTGAAGACTCATCTTTGGACTTCTGACCTCCAGAGGTTTCAGGAAATGAATGTGTTGCTTTAAGCCACTAAATACATATCACTTTACTATAGCAGTTAATATGAAATAATAAAATTTTAATGAGCAACCATTTCTTAGTGTTTTAAACCATGTACAAGCAATATTGTCTCAACAAGTTTGGTATACTAGGTAGATTTCCATTAATGTTTTTCTTTAGTTTTACTAACTTTCAGGAGCAAGTTTTCACTAACAGATAATCTCTATGAGATTTATTAAGCTGATTTATTGTTGTAGCTCATATTTATAGATGAAGGCTCCAAAACACACAATCTCTACCATTAAGGTAGTCAGTAACAGTTAATGCCCCACAGTAATGTGCATGGATAAATGCCGGGAGGATGATGGCACACTTTTCAACGGTATATAGTCTAGCTAGGGAGGAAAAGCAGCACACACAAGCTGTATGACAGGTTTATACAAAAAGGAGTATACCCATCAGGACCTAGTTAAGTATAGTATGAGCCATACTTAAAAATACTAAAATCCTGGCTGGGCGCAGTGGCCCACACCTGTAATCCCAGCACTTTGGGAGGCCAACGCGGGCAGATCATTTGAGGTCAGGAGATCGAGGCCAGCCTGGCCAATGTGGTGAAACCCTGTCTCTACTAAACATACAAAAATTAGCTGGGTGTGGTGGCTGGCGCCTGTAACCCTAGCTACTCGGGAGGCTGAGGCAGGAGAATCACTTGAATCCAGGAGGCGCAAGTTGCAATGAGGCAGAAGTTGCAATGAGCAGAGATTGTGCCACTGCAATCCAGCCTGGGCAACAAGAATGAAACTCCATCTCAAAAATAATAATAATAATAAACACTAAAAACCTTTTTAATGCAGCATAAAGAAGTGTTGAGTGGGATGGATTAATTTGAAAAGATTCTTTTAAGTATAATAAAGTAAAATTTGATATAAAAAAGATATGAACTTGCTGAGCTCCAGCAAAGATTTACAATAAGAGAACATTAATGAGCAAAGTAACAAGGGTGGAAAACTATAAGCTGTACTGTTACTATATATTTACATAACTAAAGTTAACAACAATAACATTTACTAAGTGCCAGGCACTAGACTAAGCACTTTACATTTAATTTCCACAACAATTCTGTGAGGTAGGTACTACTGTTATCCTAATTAGACAGACGGGAGGTTAAGTAATTTTGCCAAGATGGCAACTCAGGGAAAACCAGGTGCCCATCTCTGTCCTCTGGGACCACATTCTGAGCTGTACTGAAAGAGGATGCAGCAGAACCACTAATGAGGTTGTATCAAAAAAAAATGACACAGCCAGAAATGAGCCAATGAAAACAGGTTTATATGCCACTCTTTTGACTTCTATGCCAAAGCAACATACTTCTACTATACAGCCTGATAAAAAGGTGAAGCTCTGATAGTCAAGGACAACTACAAATACCAATCAACCTCCCCAGCCCCTCAAACACAATGAGATGTAATTGCTTTCACATTCCACTCTGAAAAGGGGAAAAAAACTAACACTATAAAGAGTTGGAAATTCCACAAGCAAAGTGACAAGCAAACACTGAATTTACACAAATGTGTACAATCTAAATAAAATACAAAATATGCCTCAGTGGTGCATCAAAATAAATAGATAAAGCACAAAAAACTCGCGAAACAAACAACGAAAGACCTAAACTGTAAGACAAAAATGACTGGCATACAATGAAAAGAGAAAAAATGAAAAGAAAGAGGTCACATTGTGGGCACAGTATCATAACCTTTGACCAGATTATAAACGTTTTAAATTTTGCTTTTATTACAAATTAATTTAAAAATATTTATAAAGCCTGTTTCTATGCAAGAATTATTCTCAACAACACAACGATTAAGTAAAATACAGGCAAGAAGAAACAACATACTGTTTCAGAATACAAATATAAAGAAAAGCAGTGAAATTATAATTACAAAACTTAGATAATGTTTGCTTCTTAAGGTTCTGAAAGTTACAGGTTCAAAGAAGGTAACACAGGGCTTTCAAAGGCTATGTTTTATTTCTCAAAACTACATAATGGGTAAACGAGACTTCCTGAAACTACTAATCTTCACACTTGAAATGTGTCTTAGAAACACTCTTTTGTATCTACTCAATTTTTAACAAAAACAACAAAACTGCTTCGGCGCCCTGGAGGGAATGCGGGCGTAAAGGCGGAATTAAGGGCAGGAATGGGTCACTAACGGGAGGTGAAAGGACGCCGAGGAAGAGGCGACTAAGCCCACACTGAGTCTACCTAAGCCAGGGGGACACAGGGGTGTGGGGCCAGTGACCTCCGGAGTTTCGCCAAACTCCCCGATGCGTTTCAGTGGAAAGGTGCCGGGTTTCCCCCGAGGAGGCAATGACTAGCGAGAAGTTAAGCACGAGGCAAAGAGGAGCAAGGCGACATCTGGGCACTTCAGCACTCGGACGCGGAACTCTAAGGTCCAGGCGTTGGGCCTGGGACTCGTCTCACAGAGGCGTCGCCCCTACCCCGCACACTCTCTCAAATAAACACTTTGAATCCTCCTCTCTCCTAGGTTCTCGAAACTGCACCCTCCCTCTGTGCCTGCGCAACAAGATCCTTCCCGGGAACCAACCGAGCGGTTCGGGGGAGCAGGAGGGGGCCCACCATGGTGACGTCCTCGTGGCCACGGAGCAGCTCCGTACTCTAGACCCAGGTAATCTCACCGACCGCAGGAGCAGCAGCTCACAAGAGCACCCGGGTCGAATCCCACGTGGGGCCTGAGAAGCCGGCGCAGATCCAACCGGAACAGGAGAGGCGAGTCCGTTTCTCTAAAGCGTCCCCGTCAACTGAGACCGCATCTTTTTCGCCCGTGTTGGGCTTTTAAGCCCTAGCCCAAAGGCCAGCGGCACCTGCGTGCTCGTCGGGAACGGCGGGAGGGAGCTTGCGGCGGTAGGCTGAACTCGGCCTGCCGCTGACTGCGAGCCTGGGGCTTGGAACCCGGGTGGCAGACGCTCCAGGCTTCCGGCCCATCGCATTCCGGCCCCAAGAGCGGAGCTCGCCCATCTGTCCCAGAGCAGGACTCCAGAGCGCAGCTGCCTCTTCAGACAGGAGGTTCCTTCTTGCGGTGTCCCGCATCTTAGGGGCTGGGACCCTCTCAAAAGGGCTGCTGGGTGTTGGCTCCCCCTTGCTCTTGTGCGGCACAGGCTCCTGCCTTCCGCTTTTCCAGGTACTAGATTACCTTGGGCAAGTCCTTTCCCCCATTGAGTCTTTCTTTGCCCTGCCCTGCCCTGCCCTGCCCCTCTTCTTGTTTTGTCTTTTCTCTTCGTTTCTTTTTTCTTTTCTTTTCTTCTTTCTTTCCTTCTTTGCTTCTTTCCTTCCTTCCTTCTCTCCTCCTTTCTTTCTTCCTTCCTTCTTCCCGGAGTCAAGCGATTCTCCCGCCTCAGCCTCCCGAGTAGCTGGGATTACAGGCGTCCGCCACCACACCTGGCTAATTTTTTAAATTATTATTTTCTTTTTCTTTTCTTTTTTTTTGTATTTTTAGTAGAGACGGGGTTTGGCCATGTTGGCCAGGCTGGTCTCGAACTCGATACCTCAGGTGATCTGCCCGCCTTGGCCTCCCAAAGTTCTGGGATTACAGGCGTGAGACACCACGCCCTGCCAGGTCTTAGTTTCTTTATCCGGAAAGGCCACTTCCTGATATGCAAGGCCTCTGCCAACCCAGTTTTTGTTTTCTTTGAGAGTCTTTGTTTCACCCATGCATGTTAGAATTCCGTAGACAATGCAATCATTCAAAAACTATTTATTGAATGCCTACTGTGTGCCTGGTATTGGGGATACTCCAACAGTATTCCTCACTCAGCTCATTTTCCAGGGGAGGGGGGCATGTAAAAATAATATTATTTCAAATAATATAAATACTCTAATAAAAATTAGCTGGTGGGGCACGTAGAAAAGCTGTTTTACACATGGTGGTCTCTATAAAGTCCTCTTTTAGAAGTGATAATTTAGCAGAGACCGGAACGGTAAGAGAAAACTAGACATGGGAAGAAGCTCCAGGCAGCGTGAAGCTGGTGTGCCTTGATACGTGTGTGCAGCTGTTACCTGTTGAGGGTAGTTGTCTGGGTACTTGGAGTTTTGAACAAATAATTGAACAAAACGCACAAATAAAGCAGGGCAGCGAAAGCAGAGATTTATTTTGAATGAAAGTACACTCCACTGGGTGGGAGCGGGCTGTAGCAAGCTGCTCAAAAGCACGGGTTACAGAATTTTCTGGGGTTTAAATACCTTCTAGAGGTTTCCCATTGGTCTGCCACAAGTGTGATTGGTTGAGGGAGAGGACCAGTCTGAAGCACTTTCATTTTTCAACTGCCACACAGAAAAGGAAGAGTTGGAACTGCCAGGCAGCAACTGCCACGCAGAAAAGGGAGGGGTTGAAAGAGGAGTAGCCTTTCAACTGATACCCCGTTATGCATATCCCGTCAGCACAAATCAGTCCTAGGTTCCCTGCTTACAGACCCTATTCTCCTGCCGCACAAATACTTGTATTTAATCAACAGATGTATCAATTTTTTGAAATAGTTTAAATTGTAAACAAGAATGTGTCCAGAAGATACCTGAATCTAGGGGCAAGATATTTTCACACGACTTTTTTAAGTGGGTGAAAGTCCATTCATGTGAATCTACACAATGAAGGTCACCTTTGAATATATACTGTGGAGGCAGCACATTCATGCATCACTTAAGGTCAGGGATACTTTCTGAGAAATGTTTCAATGGGGGTTTTGCTGTTTGTTTTTTGTCATGTGAATATCATAGAGCACACTTACACAAGCCTGCATGGTATAGCTTACTACACACCTAAGCTATATGGTATAGCCTATTGCTCCTAGACTACAAACCTGTGCAGCATGTTACTCTAGTGAATACTGTAGGCAATTGTAACACCATGGTAAGTACTTGTGTATCTAAACATAAGAAATGTACAGTAAAAATAGGATATAATTTCATAGGATCACCATTGTAATGCAGTCCATGACCAAAACATTGTTACATGCACATGACTGTACTCTCTGAAAGACTCCAATTAATCTAGAATATTTACACCCTAGCTCCATACTTTAGCCACTTCCTGTGAAGCCATCTTTCACCCACCCTACCCCATTCCCTTAGTCTGGCCCTGTGGCGATCACCCTCCTAAGTTCTATGTTACTGCAAATCTTTTAAATATTAAATGTTCCTTCTGGCTATTTTAGCTGTAACTGATTGCTCTAGTGATCATAAAATTCCTACCTACTCCTATCCCATTCCTAAACTTCAAAATGCCAACAACTCAATAAGCCATATATTTGAAACTTTTATTTTTTATTTTTAGTTGGGTTTTGAAAATAAATCTTCATATTTTCCTCATTCAGATTCAACCCCTAAATAACATTGATTGTAGACATGTTAAAAATATACTGTATATGTTCAAAATACACTGTAGCAAATGCAAACATGAATTATACAGAGTAAGAATAAAGATAAAAATGATGGCTAATTTTTTGTTATTTAATATATATATGTACCACTGTGATAAGCAAAATGAATCCCCCCACTTTTCCCCTCCAACTTCCCCCTTGCCCCATGCAATAACCACTGTAGATGATTTGGAGACATCTTTAGAGGTATTTTCCTGTACTTTAACAAATATACTGAGGTGTGTGTGTATGTATGTGCTGTATGTATGTGTAAGGATTAAGTATTGATTAACATGAGGTGTTGATACAATAAGTACAAATGCATAATTCTAGGGTAACCACTAAAAGAAATAGGGTACTTTGTACAGGTTACACACAAGTAGAGAAAATAAAATAGATGGAATGATTAAAATATACTCAGGTAATTCGAACTAAGAAAATAAAGGAGAAAAAATGAAATAAAAGACAGTAAGGAAGATTTTAAAAAATGGCAGTAGATTTAAATCCATAAAGTAGTAATTATGAAATAACTGCCCCAACTAAAAAAAAATCAGATTGTATTGAAAACATCCAACTGTATGCTGTTTATAAGACACATCTAAGATACACGAAAATAGAAAAATAATTAGAAAGAGCTATGCTAGGTGAATGCTAACTGAAAGAATTCTGGTATACATATATCAATGTTATATGAAATAGACTTTAGGTCAAAAAGTAATATGGCGGATATAAAATATCACTTAATAATGATAAAAAGTTTCCATTTTAAATTCGTGTGCATCTAGTAATATAGCCCAAAAATATATAATGGAAAATCCAATGTAGTTTCAAGTTGAAAAACCAACAGCCTTGGTGGAAATCTTAGCGTGCCATTTTTCAGTAAATAATAGAACAAGCAGATAAACAATCACCAGTGACTGAAAAGACTTGACCACAACAAAATTTGACCCAACAAATCTACACAGAATAGTGCTTCCAGTTCTTACAAGAATACATGTGTTCTTAAATATGTGTGGTATAGTTAACAACATTGATCATACATTGGGTCAGAAAGCAAGTCTAAACAAATCTGAAAGGATTTAAATCTATAGAATATGTTCTCTGACCACTTCATAATTAAACTAGAAACCAATAACAAGGAGACAACTAGAGAATTGTCATATATTGAGAAATTTAAAAATTGTACTTCGAAATAAGTCAGGAACTAAAAAAGAAATCATAATGGGAATTAGAAAATAGTTTGGGCTGAATAATAACAAAAGTAATAAATACCCAAACTAGTGGGATGCACCTAAAGTAATAATTAGCTCCATTCGTATAAATATTCAAGACTTCAGTATAAATATTAGAAAAGAAGAAAAGCTGAAAACCCCTGACATAGCCATCCTTATGTCAAGGGGTTAGGGGAAAAGAAAACAAAATAAGGTCAAAAAAGAAGGTAGAATAGAATAAAAAGCATAAACTATTGAAACAAGAACAAAAACCTACATAATTGAGGACCAGGAGAGCCAAAGGTGTGGTGGTTTTTTTTTAATTTTTTGAAAATTATAAAATATTTTCCTATGTTAAAATTACAAGCCTAGTTTTTTTTATATTTGTGAAATACACCGGGTGCAGTAGCTCACGCCTGTAATCCCAGCACTTTGGGAGGCCAGGGTAGGCGGATCACTTGAGGTCAGGAGTTCAGAGTGTGAGACCAGCCTGGCCATCATGGTGAAACCCTGTCTCTACTGAAAATACAAAAATCAGATAGGCATGGTGCTGCATGCTTGTAATCCCAGCTACTTGGGGGGTTGAGGTGGGAGGATTTGCTTGAACTGGGAGGCAGAGGTTGCAGTGAGCCAAGATCCTGCCACTGAACTCCAGTCTGGGTAAGAGAGTGACTCCATCTCAAAAGAAAGAAGAGAGAGAGAGAGAGAGAGAGAAGA